TTTTTTTCTAAAGAAAGAAAGAACACAAACACACACAGACACACACACAGACACACACACACACAAAAAAAAAAAAAAAAGAACTTTAAAAAGGAAAGGAAAGGAAAGGAGGCGGGGTGGGGGGGAAGAAAAAGGGCGGCAGAGGGGAGCAGACCTCCATTTAGTTACAAACAGACATTAATAGACATTTTGTGTGTGTGTGTGTACTTTTCCTACCTGTTTTTCTTTTTTTATTGTTGTTGTTTTTTTGTTTTTGTTTGTTCCCCATGTCAAAGTACGCCGATCCCGATTACTGGGAAGAGCGGTACCGCAGCAATGACACGACGTACGACTGGTATGTCCCCTTCGACAGTCTTGAACCGATCTTACGTCCCCTGTTACAGCCACCGGAGCAGGTCCGTGTACTTATTGTTGGTTGCGGCAACAGTCGTCTTTCCGCAAGTTTGTACGATGAATTAAATATACGTAAAATTACAAATGTGGATGTGTCGCCAACTGTTATTGCGCAGATGGAGCGGCGGTGCAAAAATATGACTGAGATGCAGTGGATTTGCTGTGATCTTGTAAATACGTCACCGGAGAAGTTGTTGGCCCTTTTATGTCCAAATGATTACCTGTTTGATTTCATTATTGATAAAGGTTTTATTGACGCCATCCTTGGGGGGCATAATTCCTTTCACAATGTTTACACAGTGACGAAGAATTTGTCACGGCTGCTTAAAAAGGGCGGACGCTTTCTCTCCGTTTCATACGGCTCGCCGGAAACTCGCATGGACCACTTCCGTCGTCGCCGGCTTTTTTTTGATGTGGAACACAAGGCCATTGAGAAGCCGATGTTTAACTCAACAGCCACGACGACAGGACATTATCATGTCTACATCATGACAAAGCTTGGAGAAAAGCAAACGGCGATAGCCGTGGGAGACGCAGGAGCCGCTTTGGACGGTACAACAGTAAGTGGTGACTCCGATGATGATGAGGACGATTTCTACGATCGCTTCATGATGCAGACAACATCCCCCACCATGGCGGCGGACCCAAGTCGCATTCATACACTGTAATATTCATTGAACGAAGTGGAGCGGTGATGACTGTAATTGTGCATTCATATATATATATATATATGTAATATACGCATGTGTCCATGTATGTATGCATGCATGCATGTAATGTGTGTGTGTGTGTGTGTGGAGTTCTGAGGGAAAAGTGAACGGAGTTCGGGATGTAGACTTTAGAGAAGTAGAGCCAAACAACACACATGCCACGGCAATGGACGCAAGTGAATTTAAGGGTTTGCCACAAAAAAAAGGACAAAAGAGGAAAAAAAAAAAAAAAAAAAGAAAGAAAGAAAGAAAGGAAAAAGAAGAAGAAGAAACAATATAGGGCGGAGAAAATTCGTGTTGAATGGCTTGTTTGGTTGGCCTTTTTTATTGTTTTTTTTTTTTGTTGTGTATTTGTCCCGTCGCTTTCATTGACGTTTGTTTGTTTAATTCTTTCGGTTTCACTTCATTCTTCCCTTCTTTTCCTTCCCCTTTTTTCTTTATGTGTGGCCTTTGTTTTCTATTTATTGTTACTTCTTTCTTTTTTCTTTTTTTTTTTTTTTCTTTGGATTGTCTTTACTTCTTCTTTCTTTTATGTAATGTATTTGTAGCGGAGGGAGAGTGAGAGAGAGAGGGGGGGGAAGGCGTGGAGGAATTTTGGTTTCTCCCCTCCCCTTCACGCCCCTTTTCCCTTCCCCACCCCCCACCCCCTGCGTACAGTAAAGAAAAGACAAGGGTGGTTGTTTGGTTGGTTGCATCAATACTGTCGGGAGCACGCATCACATTACGGAGAGAGAGAGAGAGGGAGAGAGAAAAACAATTCTAAAAAAAAAAAAAAAGGCCGGAGGAGAAGAAAGGACGGTGTGTTTGTGGGGAGTTTATTCATGCAAGAAGTTATGAAAGTCACGGGCGGTAGTGAACCGTCACCGCTGCCTCTTCCACCATCAACATCGCAGTTGGTCTGTGAGAAGCAAATGGTAAGGAATCAGCCCGGGGAATTTCTTTACAAACGCCAAGAAGTACTTGCATATATCAAGTCTTTTTTACAGCCCGCATACGACCGTGGTTCCCTCTCATGCCAGCAGTTTGTCTCTATAGCTAAGCAAACCCTGTTATTTGTCATGAGTGCCAGGGATATTGGTATGCAAGGGTTTTCCAAAGACTTTGTGGCGCAAGTGGTGCAACTGCAGATGACGCACGTGCCTCATACAACAGCACCGACAACACCCATGTCAACACCATTGGTCGAGTGTAAAAAGGGCGGTCACATTCCCTACTTACATGCTCAGCCGGGTGATCATCATAATGATGATAATGAGGCGAGAGGGGAAAAAGAAAAACAACAACAACAACAATTGTCGTTGCCAACAGGAAATCGTCAGGCATCCCCATTCATGCTACGTAATGGCCATGACGTGGGTACTGTCAATGGAATTAACAATGGGAGCGGGAATCAATTGTTTCTGCGTGACCCCTCCCCGCGTAGCTATGAATTCCCCAGTCCCTTTACGCAGCACTCAAAGCCGTCATGTTCCTTTCAAGGGGGTGCTACCAAATCACAAAATGGGAGCAACAATAGAAACACAGTTACTGCCGCTGCACTTCCCGCTTTGGGTGACAGCACGTGTTGTGTGACCTCTTCTTCTTTGGACGCATATCACCCACACAAGGTGACCACAACGGCAGCAGAAACAAGGACAGATCTATCGACAGAAGTAGCGATGAAATCATCGTCGCCTATCACAATGAAAGCGAATAAGCACCGTCATAGTTACGCGGGTAAAAAGGGGGATGAAAAGGAGAAGGTAGAAAAACAATCCCAGATATCGAACAATACAAGCGACAAGTTGCTCTTTGTTCTGGAAAAACTCCGTGAGCGTTTGTCGTCTTGGCAATCAATAGAAAATAATGCCTACTCCTCCTTATCGCAGTGTAGGATGGCGGATGGCTCTGTGGGTGTCGCAGTGACTTCCCCTACGCACAGCTCAGGGCTGGATGAAATCCGTCATGTCCGTTCCGAGATTCGTGATGTACTGCGGCTGTGGATCCTCGAGCGTCGCGAGATTCTTCGAGAAGAGGAACAGGTCTTCACATCACTTTTTTTGCATTTTCAACATGCCCTGATAAAAGACCTCATACGGCACGTTTTTAAAACAGAAGGAGTGGTGGGGGTGTCGCTTCCTCCACCTCCCACAACACCACCACCGAAGGTGCAGTTCGAGCGTGTCTCCCTGCTCAGGGGGAATGACGGCGGGAATGATGATCCCTACGGGAAGTGCTGCGGAAACAGTCCTGTACTCCACGGTGCGACGCAACTCGTTTACATTGAGGATGAGGGGCCGGAAGCAGACGTGTCGCCAGCGGGAAATACGACAGCCCCCAAGTCTCTTTACAGGCGTCAGTTCCTGCATCATCACAATGACACCGGAAAGAAAAAGACGTCTCGTGCAGCCTCCATCCGTCGAGATGGCAGCTGTCATAGCCACAGTGGTCGTTTTGGTACGCAAGGAGAAGCGAAAAGAAGAAGCGAGAGGAAAAGATTGATGGAACAATTGAACGAAGGTTCTTCTTCCTTGCCATCATCTGTATTGCCCTGCTCTTCACCCCTGCGGCGGCAGTGCACGGTGCCTACCGTTTCAGTAACGGAAAGAAATGGTGATTGGGACGATGTGCGCGACGTGTTGATGACGCCCTCGCGGCAGTATCCGCCCCATGCCGTTTTCCCGAACCGCTACGCCACAACACCGAAAAGAACGTCAAGGATGAGGAGAGAAACGATGACACCGCCCAAGTCGAAAACCGCGACAGCCGTCTTTCGTCTGCATTCGCCCAAATCGAGCACGGCGAAGCCCGCAGGCGTCAATGTTCAGCCGCAAGGCCAGGGAGAGGGCGTACAGGTATTTACGAAACAACGTCCGAACTTGCAGGAGGAAACGCGTAGTGAGGTGACAAAAAGAGGAAGCGCAGGCGCATTGGTACAACAGATCGATCGGAAGGTCATTGTGGAATATTTGCGGCAGTTACTTCAGCCAGCATTTGATTCGGGCGCGCTCTCTGTAGATCAGATGGGCGGTATTGTGCAGCGGGCGGCGGGACCTTTGCTGAGCGGTAAAATGGGCCACTTCCTCGCTAGCGAGACCCGATGGAAAAATGAGTTGCGGAAGCAGGTAGAGCACCTTCTTGGGGAGGCACTTCTTGGAAAGCCGTGATTTTTTGCCCCCCCCCCCTTCAACTGCGGGAGTACAAGGGCTCTATCTACGCGTATGGTTCTTCTTGTTGTTATTTATTGCTATTGTATCTATATGTCCGATTTATTTATTTATTTATTTTGGTGCAAACTGTTATAAATATCGCTTATATATATATATATCTTGTGAGCGTGCTGTATCTATTTGATGCAAACATGCGCCATTTGATCGACGTATATTTTCACTGTCTGTCTGTCTGTGTCTGTGTGTGCTTTTGTCCTGCTCTTTTTCCGTCTACTCGTTTTTTGTTCTGTTTGAATCCTTCTTCTCCCTTTCTCTCACCTCCTTTCTTTCTTTTTTTTTTTTTTTTTTTTTTTTTCCGCAGGGGAACAGGTAGGCGACGTTTCTGATTTGATTGCCGTTTCGATTCACTTTTGGCCCGGGCCAAAATGGCAGAAATGCACGCACCTTTATCGAGCGATTCTTGATACATATAATATATACATATATATATTGTTACTATTCCTCATGTCAGCTCAAATAAATACAAAGGCCCACACGCCAGCCACCATCGCAGAGCACGTCGGCTCAATGATTAAAGATGTAAAAGAGAGACCCGGCACCCAAAGTGGGAGCCGGACAGCGGAGGCCGTGAAGCACACACCACCGCTACGCACCCGCCCCGGGGATAGCGCGGTGGCTCAATAATCCGCTGCTGCCAAGAATCAATAAAACAACAAATCACAGAACCAACCAACCAAACATGGACGCTATAAATGAGAAAAGGGAGAAGAGGGCAGCCTGCCAGGAGCAAATACGGCCCGCCGCATCTGCGAGGGGCCTTGTGTCTTCTCGCCGCGCGGAGGTACTGATGGGGCAGTGCCTTTCCACTTCAAAGTGGAACCACACCAATATTTCCGTGAAGCACAACTTCCCCACTTCTCCAATTTCCGCTCCATGTTTGTTTGTTTTTTGTTTTCCATCCCTATTTTTTTTTTATTGCCGTGACATTCTTACCGTCCGGGCGTGCTTATACCGGAACCTTTTCTTATCATGGCGTTCTTTCCGCGCGGAGGCCACGAGCAAAAACAAATGGGCCTTTTGCGCACAAAAAACACCAGAGATGTGAGGGGAAAAGCTGGCCGCAGCAAACCTTTTTTCCCCAGAATAATCAGTAAACCACCGTTTCACCGCCACAAAAAAAAAAAAAAAAAATTCGTCGCCATATTTCCCATAGAAAACCGTCATAATAAAAAAAACTTCCCGGCCGGGAATTGAACCCGGGTCACCCGCGTGATACGCCGTCTTTGGGGTTTTCTACTGACCGTACGTAGGCAAAGGATGCCTGTATTCCGCAAGAGTCCAAAAACCCATATATCCGTCGCAGCTCCCACGCCATGGCGTGTGATTTCGAGCTGCCTTTATTCGCCGCTCCTCGCAGCGAAGTGTTGTCCACCCAAAAGTCCATGGTGGGTGGCAAGATGGCGGAAAAGGCCGATAAGGCCAACCGTACCGCGCGCACCTCAGCCTGCATGATAAAAAAGGTCTCTTCCCCCATTTTCCTCCGGCAGTTTTAACGTCGCCGGAGTCTGGAATAAAAACGGCTCTCCATCCATGGAGCAACGCATCCCTGATGATGGCGGCCGATGCCTTTTCCGTGGGCTTGATGTTTCGCTTGCGATTGTTCTCGATGGTGTGTCGTAATCTCTCGCCCAAACCAACCGCTGCCGGCGGAAGGTTCGCCGGGGATGTCTCCAGCACAATCCCCCGTTAAGTGCGGATAATCGTCGTCGCACTGCCTTGATAAAAAGTCGTGGTCGCATAAACGCGTGCCTAAAATGGCAGCCGCGTTCAAAAACCGTGACGCTATAACCTCCATTTCCGCGATGGTTAAAGAATTGAGCGCCGACATGGCGCGCACAGACCGGACAAACTTCTCACTCAGGGATACCGCCCGGTGAGTGTGATCAAACAGCACCCCCAGGAAGGTGTACTGCGTGGCGCCCGATTCGCGGTCCTCCCCCATCGTGGCGTGACGGCCGTCCGCATTACGAAGCACTTGGGCCTCCCACAATGCCACATCGCCTTTAGACACTGCAATGCGTATATTATCGATCCAAACGTCGGCACGCACCAATGGAGGTGCAGCCCAGAGGGGGTGAACCACCGTCGTCACCACCGCAATTGCCTAAAGTAATAATCTGGAGAATTTCTGGGCTGGCCTTGCATCCCATTGGGAGCCGTGTCAGCTCCACCAGCGTGCCGTCCTCCACGCGGCATCGAAAGAGATGCCGAGTCTCCCGCGGTAAAGAGACCTGAAAAAGAAATGCCTTTAAATCCGTGCAGGAAGCGGCCTCAGCCATCACAGGCGGCAAATAATGGGAAATGTGTAAAAGAGGAACATTCGCCTCATAAGGGTCGTCTCTGTTCTTTTCGCGTGGCCACGCGATCCATCGTCGTCGTAAACCGGTGGTTTTCTCCTCCATAACCGAAAAGGTATTATCCATCCGCCTGTTATTGTGGACAAAGCGTCCTTGATAATTCCTGCTGTCCGTAACAAATGCACGTCAGCGGTTGGAATCCTCCGCGCGCTTTACCGGAGGAGGGCAGAGGGAAAGGGGACTGCCCGACGAGTCCCCAAACTTGCATGAGCCTCTCCAAGGTAGCCGGGTTCAACCGACTCATGATCCACTCTGGTATTCAATACGGGCACGTTGAATTGCTGCTGCAGCAAGATGCTTCGTTCATCTTGTGGAGTGGCCAGACGCGTCCTTGTCGCGCGTCTCGTTATTGTGGCAGAATAATGATAAAAATAGTGGAAAAAACGCTTCTCTGCTGTCAGCCAGGGTTCCTGCCCTTCCGCAGTTCCTTCCTTCACATCAATGCGACCAGCGACGACACCTGGGTCAGCATTGTGGTGTAACTCCCCAAATATCGCACTGTATTCTGGGGAAGGTCGAACGGGTCGACGTGCCTCGCCAACTGCGAGATCACGTGTGGGTTCAAGTTGTATGTCTCCACGATTTCAGCAGCGTGTCTCAACGCGCCGCGCTTTATGGAATGCGCCGTGGCATTCCAAGGAGCCAGAGCTCGTTCGACTTGGGTAGTCGTAATATTCGTGAGCTTTTCGTTGCGTCGAAGTGTCCTGCATAAATTCATAGTGTCGAACGCGCCCCGTTCTCGTATCCTCACGAACCGCGAGGCGCGGTGGGGATGCGCCCCGCCGTCTCCGGCGCCACGCACCAATTTAAATTATGATCCCGTCTGCCTCCATTGTGACATTGTTGGGAGTCAAGGCCGCAATCTTGGGCCAACGACTCGCCGTTATCCACGCAAGTCGTAAGACAACACTTTGCTTCCAATCGGTTCGGCTGCGGATAAATTGATTCATCTCTTCCTTTGTTAAGGGGCGCGCCTGCTTCGTCTCTGATCGCGCCGCAACTTTTTGTAACCCCAGAATCATCATGCCCAGCGGGGTTAGATGCATTTCAAACATGGACCGCAGCACCCTGGCGTACTGCAGTCAGGTCGATGGCGCTACGTCGATTGCCATCAAGAAGGCCGCGCAGCTCTCCTTGTTCATCGGCTGTTCGTGCGTGCGGCAAAAGATTGTAAAGTGCCCCGCCAGGGACATTCTCTGCTCCCGCTTTGACGGCGCACACAGTTCTCGCGCCACCTCGTTCGCCTTCCTCATGTAACTGGTCCAAAGCGGGGATGTCGGTGATTCGTCGTACCACAATCGAGCGTCGTTGGCGGATAAGCTCCGTTGCCGTTTTTTTACGGCCGTCTGCGCTGTGAGTAATTCCTCTGGTTGCGCCCCGGACGTTGCTTGCAGACGCGTCGTGCCCATAAACGCCACACAATCGACATCGCGACAATCGTTGCGCGCCTCGCCGTTCCATGAGAGGCTGGGTCGCCCTCGCAAAGACGTCAGCCTCATGAACGGCGGTATGAAGACGGGCGCGCAGTTTGGGGTGCGGGATGTCGGGTTCGGACGCCATCATGAGCCGCATCCGGAATTCCTGCAGTAAGGGGTCCTGCCCAATTTCATGATAGGAGAGGCCCCGCTCTGCTTCCATCACTCCTGTCCACGCAACCAAACTGCCGAAGGAAAGTTTAGCCTGGTCCTCCGCCTGTTACCAATAATCGTATGCGTCCAGGGTGTCAAAAAAGTCTCCGGAGACGCCCTCATCCCATATACGCGGGGGCCAAGTGGTGACGTCAAATGCACAGAAATGTGGTTCCTCCTTTTCTGTAGCGGAATTTGCGTCCAAGAGGGATGTGCGGGAAGGCAAAGGCAACAAGGGATGGAAATGTGGCCACCAAAATTGCCCTGAGACGTCTGGGGCCGTCTTTTTTCGGCCTGGCTCCGTTGGGCCGTGTGTGACGGCGCACAGCCCGCCATCAAGCGATGCGTGTGATGCGGCCGTGCGGTAACGCCATCTTCGACCGTGTTTTGCCGCGTGACGGGTCCATCTGTCGGGCCTCTCCGAGTGGCGGGGCTTCTTCCCTGCCCGCCGTCTCCGCCTCCCACGCGGATCGCTGCGCCTCTCTTGCGATAACGCGTGTCTCTCGTTCGTGGAGTTTGGCGCGGATTGCCTCCAACTGCTGTTCGCGTCCGGCGACCGCGTATTCTCGTTCTGCAGGAAGGCCGCCGGCGGACGCAATGTTAGATTCGCGCACCGATATGTTGTCATGCGCCTCTTCCACCTGCGAGTTAAGCTGAGCGCCTCGATTCTGCACGTCAGCAGTGGCGTGGGTGTGGCCCGCGCTCAAGCGCTCCTTTTCAGCAATGGTGAGCCGTTTTTGGATCCCCAACTCCCGGGCCGCACACACACGATGGGCGGGATCAACTGAGTCCCACAATTTGCTACTTGAGGCGCCCGGGGATTCGCAACATGTGTCCTGTAACGCTCGAATCCTCCTCGGGTTTGGTGGTAGATCCCGAAATCAAGTGTAAGCCTGTTATTGCTGCAGCGACGGCCCGTTTCCATCAATGAACCTTATCCGCACCTCGTTGGTGCCATGTTAGCATACCAAGTCCGAAAGACGGGCGCCAATATCGCTCCGCTCGGAGGCCGTGTAAGAAACCAATGCCATTTCCTTAAACCAACCTGGCTATATCAGCGAATAAAAAAAATAAAAAAAAAAAATATCCAGCTGCTATCACTTCCTTGCCCCTTAAAGCCGTGTTCTTCCCACGTCCATAAGATAGGAAAAGTATCATAAAGAAGTGCATTCGTTTTATCAGGATAAATATTTATTAATTAAGTTAGCCACCTCTCCCGCGATCATTCTCTTCACAATCTCCTAATAAAACAAAAAAAAAAGGCGTGGGACGACCAGCACACACACTCTCATTGCTCCCGTAAAGCCCAACAGGGAGAGAGAGAGAGGTCGCCCACTCAAGGCAATGGGAGCAAAAAACAAGAAACAAAAACAGTTACGGTGCTCCGCCCATGCAGCCAGGCAGGACGGCAGCGGTGCGTGCGGTGCAAAAGAGAGCACCAACGGGCCTGCATGGGTGTGCATGCATATATACAATGGGCACATTATGTGTGTGCTTCGTGGGGTGAGGTGAGGGCGAGAGTCCATGCAAGGGGACACACAGAGAGAGAGAGAGGGAAGGAAAAGTGTGTGTGTGGGCGGTGCACGGCTCTCTCTCCCTCACTCTCACGCGGCCACCACCGCAGCAGCAGCCGCACACGCAACAACAAGAAGAGGCAAAAGAGGGGAGGTGGCGTGGGAGACCGCGGTGCTGCTGTCACTGTCGCCTGTATTTGCGGTGGCATTTGTACGAAGGGCGTTTTTATCTTTCGCGGATTCTTCGCCACCTTCCGCGGGGCGTTCATGCTGTTGATGTTGTTGGACTTGTGTTTCATCACTTTGCTGCTGCTTTTCATAATCTTCTTCCTCTTCCTCTTCTTCTTCTTCTTGTCGTGTGTGTTCAGTGCCGGATGTCGTCCCTGCCGATCCTTCGGCTGGCGAGGGGTTGTGAGCCGCTGCTGCTGCAGACGTCTGATCTCCTGTTGAAGAGTCCCCTGTTGTGTTAGTTCGATGACTGCCTGAGGACCCCGCTTTACCATCACTGCTGCCAGCTGAAGAATCAACACCAGGAGTAGCAGGAGTAAGAGCAGGAGAAACAGCAGGAGCAGCAGGAGGATCTGGAGCAGCAGGAGGAGGAGAACCGGCAGGAGGAGCGGGAGGACCACCAGAAGGAACAGGAGGAGAAGCAGAAGAACCAGAAGAAATGCCACCGCTGCCTTGACCGCCAGCAGAAGTTCCACCGCCTCCACCAGCAGAATGACCACCAGGAGAAGCACCAGCGTTGGAAGTCCCACTTGAATGCGAATCGTTCTGTATTACAACAGTATTATCTGTTCCAGCCGAAGCTTCGACGGCAGTAATGGGCAGTACTGACCGCAAAGTCATCGTAATCGCAGTTTTATTACATCCGTCAGGCATGTGGGATCCATTCTCACCCAACACTCCCGACGCCATGCAGCCACCCACTGCGTTGGTGTCAACGTCCCTCGCATAAACACCGCCGGCACCGCACCACAGCACGCAGAGGGCACACACCAGCAGCACACGGCCAGTCATCATCATCGCCATCACTCCCGTCACTTGCGTGTAGCCTTCAGCACAATCTAACTCCCCATCAACGCAGAGCAAAAGGAGAGACAAGTCACACAACCACGCACCGTCCCATCCAGCAATGAGAGTCACACACCACCAACAGAATTAGCTGAGCGCCGTTCAACAACAATCAAAACAAAAAAAGGAGCGCTCCTCGCCGTGCACCGTTCCTCACACTCCCACAGTCACTGTTACTGTTATTCCCTCTCTCCTCAGTCCCTCAAAGGCACGCCACGCTCACTTCAACACGCGCCCCTTCAGAACAGGCCTCGGGATCGTCAGGCCCTCCCGCTGCGCCGCAACCACACACGGATCAGGTTGGCCGTCATGCACTGCATCTCGTTGTCCTCCTTGTAATTGAAGCAGACCCTCACATCCTCTCGATACACGGCATGGGAACTGCGAGTGGCGGCCGAGAGGTGCCACATTTGTGGAAGAACACAATGTGCGGAAACAACGACCACCCTCACTCACTCAACTCTCCCGCACACAAGGGCGGTGCCATGGCGAAGAGAAGCCCGCCGCACAGCACATGCACAAGGACACATGCAATAGCCGTGCCACCGACGTCGCACCGCAGGATAAAGCCATGCGGACAGCAAACACACGGCCTCAACGAGTGGGACGGGGCACATCCAAGTGCATACCGCAGTCCTTCACTTCTCCCTTCCCCGGCGGGTTGGCGTCCCACACCCACAAATGAGGCACGGCGCACACCATCCGCTCCCTCCGAGTGCACTCAGCAGGCCGGCGCCCAGTCACTCTCCTGCCATCGCAAAGGGGAGCACAAACAATCGTCGCCGCGGACCATCGGTGCCTCTAGCGGAAAAGAAGAATATGAAATAAGGGCGTGTCAAAAGCACAGCCAGCAGAGGGACAACAAAAGAGACACAGTAACACAAGGTGACAGCGGACACGGCACAACAAAAGCACGCCGCAGTGAATTACCAAACAAAAAAAAAGGGTAAAAGTCCAGGAGGAGTTGACAAAAATTTAAAAAAATGTGGTGAAGATCGATGCGGCAAGACTTTTATTTCATGTGCCGATCAGCACAACAAAACGACCGTGTGTTTGTGTTTATACATATCGCCCGCACCAGGAAGGAAGAGAAAAACCAAATTAAAAAAAGGAATTGCACTGTCCCACCAGCCCACAAAACATCCCTTCACATTTCATGCAGCAATCGGCCTGTTCTTCCAATTCGTGTTTCGTGCAGTCCGTGGAACGCGCAGCCGAAGGGCCGGCACCGCGTGTGGGCGACAAGAAAGCAAACAAGAGAGGGAAACACGTCGCTCATGACGGTGCGCAGCTGCCAAACACCACGTAAAGCAAAAACAAAACTAGTTATTACTCCGGCTGAACCACATTAAAAAGAACACTGAAAAGTAAAGAAATTGAAGAACCAAACGAGCAGTAAAATAGAATTAAAACGGTGGTATAAAAAAGGACGGGCAATGCGGCATGTATTCTCCGTGAGGCGTCGCAAATCCACACTCCGTGGCTCAGAAGACTGCCACCACCCAAATACAATCCCAGTAGAAGCAGCAACACACACGACACGCACACACGCACGGTGTTGTTACCGCTTAAATCACGCAGTATCAATTTCACGTCGTTGAGAGAGGCGAGGTGGTCGTCGGGACTCACGCCGCTCCACACCCTGCGAGGTGACTTTTTTTAATGGGGATTCGTGTCCAGGGGCGTGGTGCTCATTCATTTCTCTTCCGTAATATCCCCAGCAATTTGCTCTCTGACGCTGTCAACTACTCGAATCTTCTCGGGTGGTGTCGGAGCCGCTTCCCTCGTCGGAACGGGGTCTCTGTCCTTGAGTGCACGCATCGCAGTGGAGTTCAGTGGGCGGCTGTACAGAAAGACGTTCGTCACCGTCACATGAGATTAGTGCCCACAGCACGCGCCAAAGCAAAACCTCAGTACATCAGGTGGCTTCTGACCTGTTAACAGCACTTCTTCCTATTCCGCCCCCAGCAACTGACCATCAATGTGCACAGAGGCCTTGTTGCCTTGCAGCATGAGTGCCACTTGGTACTCTTCCTTCTTCGGCTCCCAAGTGCTCCTCCGTGCTTTTGTCGTGCCCTCAAACGAAATCACCCACTTCTTATTGTAGTTCCACGACAGTCCCATGGTACGATTGGGCTCATTGTTCGCCAGCATCGCAGTCAGTTGAGAAATGTTCCCACTCGGAGCCTCTTCGATGGTCACCGACACCACAACTGTGAAGTGGTGGCTCAAAAACACATGACGCACATTATTAACCCGAGTGTTCACGGGCCATATTGCCCTGGACTCAATTCCCGTGAATCGGAACCCATCGTTGTTCTTCACTGCATTCGTCACCGTCGCATGCAGGCAAAGGTACTCGTCGTTCCACGTGCCATTACTGGCCGCATCGGACAAAACTGCCACCAGACCCGCCGTGGGTATAGACACGCTGGAGAAGAAAGTGTCCTTTTGCGCCCCAGTACTGAAGACGGACCTGATTGCACTCACTTCCTCCGTCAGGCGGGAAAATGGCACGGCCCTCACCGTTGCCCCTCCGTTGTAAAAGATGCAAACTGCCATCCGAGTACAGCAGGGTGCTGGCGAGCTCCCAATCCGCAGCACTGTCCGTGACAACCGGTCCAACGTAAAACGAGCGGTTGTTGTCCGTGACCCAAACGTAAAGCGGATTGGCCTTATTCTCCACCGAGGCGTACCCTCTCTGAGTGTACAGCATGACCTTCCCTTTCCTCAATGGTCGCGGTGATGAGGGCATCCACATGCAGGCTTTCCTTCTGATAGTCTCCCGATCCTGAGTTGACCCACACGCCTAAAAGCTTCCCGATAGCCTCCGTCCACGTTGTCCCCATGTCACGCGACTCGTACACCCTCTGGCCATTCTTGCAGTCAGCAATCATGAGAAGTGATCCCTCCCACTCGGTGACGCGGGGGTTAAGACATTTCGCAGGGGACATACCCTCAGAGAGCGCCCAGGCACTGCCGTTGTCCGTCGAGTAAATGATCATGGAGCAAACGCCTTCTGCCTCATTCTTCGCCATCAGAGGAAACAGGAAGGTGCCATCCTCCATCACAACACCTGGGCCACCAGAAGCAATAAACTCCGTCCGTTCACCTTCGTGAGAAGCAGAAGAGATCAGTTTCGAGAGTGTTTGGGGTCGCCCCATTCGATCCGTTCACTCTGCTTGCCACCCGTGGGATTCGTGACATCACCCACAACCAATTCCAGCTCCAAGCCGCCCTCTCTCCAGCACCCACCTTCGTAGGACACATCCGAGCCTCCCGCAAGAGGAAACACTCCGTTGCCCTTCGTGATTCTTGCGGAGTGGTGCACAACACCCAAACCCTCCTTTCCCTCCGCTGCACCAAGCACAGTGTGTGCGCTCCATGTATTCTTTTATTGACCTCACCAACAAGAGTGGAACAATCCCACGCAGGGTCAATGTGCCCCGCAACAAAATCAGAAGAAAAGGGCTTAGTTAGTTGGCCACATTGATATCCGGCATCCAAATGTGACCTTCGGCAAAAGCAGCAATTACTCCACCAGCTCTCACGAGAGAGGGTAAAACAAATGAATCCCTTGACGTGCCTGGAACACCCTCATCCCTGAGCTGCAACACCTTCTTCTGTGAAAAAAATAGATCGACTCCCCGCGGCAACTCAACATTTATTGAATCACTCATCGCATCAACAATGGGATCCTCCTTCGACTCGGTGACAGGCGTGAACCTTCTTTCGGGTGGTGTCGGAACCACTTTAATGTTCCGAACAAAGGCAAACTCAGGCTTCGTCTCGGACGTGTTGGTCGCCGTGTTGGATGCGGGACTCTGATCAACGGTATTGGGTCCGTCAGCCGCGGCAGACTGTCGCCAATCCTCGTTCTGACGTGTCGGCTCAGCATCAACTTGCGGCGCAGTTGTCCCACCAGATTTTGTGTCATCCTTCCCTTCACGGGGTGGCGGCAACTGAAAGATGCCCGTCTGGTCAGCATCGCTGCTCCGTGCAGGCGGATGGATGGTTCCATCGGGAGAAAACTGACGCCACCACTATTCATAAGGGCCGGCGTATTTATGTGTCGTCACATTCATCGTGAAGGCAACGGTGGCCCCTTCCCCTTTCGTTGCACAGCTGGCAGCACAGTTGCTAGATGTGTGCACCGCATTGGCCACATGACACACAGTACCCAGCTCACCATTCCTGCTATGCATGCGCACATCAAAGCCACTGAAAGTATAATTCTCACACTCAGCACTGGCAGCAGAACACTTCTTCCACACCCACACACACGCACGCACGCGATAGCTCAGGCTGCCGTCACTCGGAGCACACAACACATCCACCGGCACAACCACCGCATCCGCATCACCAGATACATGTCCAGCACTCCCAGCACCCATCACGCACACGGACGTGCAGCAGCAGCACAAGAGCGCAAGGACCATCACGGCGCACACCACACGGAGCCGCACCGTCACCATCGTCATTATCGCAGTCATCATCACCCGTGGTGGAGTCACTGGAGTCAGTGAGCTGATCCGTGAGACAGAAGGAAAAGGAATGGAACGAGAGGGAAAGGGACGGGGTGCAGCGGATACGGCGAGAGAGACAGAGCAGACAACATGAGGAGAGGGCAGCAGGCCCAGCCGCACAGTTCACACACCACGAGACGGCATCCACGCAAGGAAGGCACACAACGCCAGAAGCCACCCACCATGCAGGAGAAGAAGATATCCACCACCATCTCCCCCAACTCATCGCTACAGCCCCAGGGAAATGGCCAAAACCCGCGGCCACCAAACAACGCACACGGAGCGAGCACCCACCACACCAGCCACACGACAGTGGACCCTCATCCATCCATGACGCGGCACCAAAATTTCCAGCCATCCCGCCCTCAATGGGACACGGAGCCCAACTCAACGCAGCCACACGCGGTGCTCCACACCCGCAGGAAAAGAGACTCGGGCTGCGCACTCCCTCTCCCTCCTCCTCCCTTCTCCTCATGGTCACGGAAGAAGACAACAGCCGCCACACGCAACTGCCAGCACGCACTGCAAAAGGAGCATTCAAATCCACTACAATGTGCATCTTGTGTGTGTGTGTGCCTGCAGAAACACAAAGCAAAGAAGTAGAAAAAAGGAAGCAGAGTATGTGGAGAGACGCACAAAATGTACAGAAGAGACGCATAACGGAAGCAACAAGAAGAAGACCGGTCAAACTCATGACTGCACTGCAGCCCAATCAGTGGCAATTCACAAAAGATTTATTTAAAACAAAAAGAAAACGTTCCCCTTCGTCTTATTTAAACCCCATCACACAAAATAATTACAAATGAAAAAGAAATCGTCCATTACTGTTCCACACAAATTTAAAAAATCGCCTGGCTGCCGTGTGGCCACACAAAACTGTCTGTATATATTTTGTCCGGAAAAGAAAATTGAAAAGATGGTTGCGTGTGCTTCAACCGTCTGACCCTCCATGTGTCCGCACATCGTTTATATTTCATGGGGTCATCTGCGTGTTGCTGCTCCCCTCAGCCCTTTCATCGGCGCGTGAGTGCGGCCTGCAGAGCACAGTCACTCGTGTGTGAGCGAGGACTGAGAGAAGCACGCAGACATGACGGGAGTCGCGTCTCTCCATCGGGAGAGTGAGCGCAGCAAAAAAAGAAAAATCATCAGGAGGGGAGAGAAATGCTGACTGCACTGCCAGCGCGTGAAATGAACACGAAAAGCAAAAAATCCTTAAAAACCGGCAGGGTGTGGCTGTGTGTGTGGCGCTGCGGGTGTCTGCCAGCCCTGGCCGCAAAAAAACAAAACAAGAGGGAAAGAAATGTGTGCTCCGCCCCACCGGCCCTCGTCGCACGCCCACACGTCACGGCTCCCTCAGCGCGCCGTTCGTCGCGGCCCCTCCTCATGCGTGCAGCAGGCGAGGCGCACAGGGCCGTCGTCATGAGCGTGTCGGTGGGTGTGCGAGTGGAGCAGTTGGGCGGGAAACACACAGCACCCCTCACAGGAAGAGTGCAGAAGAAACAATTAAAAGAGGGAAGAGTAGAAAAGAAAAAACGTCCATAGTGATTGCCCCCAAAAGCAAAAAAGAGGGATGCGGGAGTGAAAGATAAAAGGGAATGAAAGATGATATTTTTTTTAAAATAAAGAAACATTAAAACATTAAAAAAGAAAAACAACAAAGAAGGCTTCAAGAATTATAAATTACAAACAAAGAAAAGAAAAAAAAATTATTTTAGGATAAAATTTAGTTCTTTGAAGTGAATTTTTGCAGCGGAGGTCGTAATTGTTTTCATGCGTCAGCCAGTCACTCCTCACAGAGCCGCAAACCCCCACAGTCCCAACAGAAGGGGCAGCGATGGCAGCAGCCTGACCTCACAAACAGTGCCGCCATCACCCGTTGCTTCTCCAACGGCATGGGAGTTCGAATCCACGGACACCTGCTCTGTGTTGGCAGATTCCCCCACCGTTGCATTTTGTCCTGCTTTACTTTCTTTTTGAGGCTGCTGCAAGGTCGCTTGAAACCACTGGAGCTTCAGAAGTTTTGCCTGCAATGGACGCTTCGGCACGAGATTCTTCGGTAAAAGACGCTGCTGCACGTGGTTCCTCTTCATAAGGTTCTTCTGCGGTTGACGCTTGTGCTTTAATTTCCTCTCGAGGCTGCTGCGATGCCGCTTGCACCCGTGGAAAAGGCATTTCTGCATAAGGTTGGCCTGGGGAAGACGCTGCTGCATGAGGTTCTGCTGCAGGAGGCAACACCGAAGCAACCACAGACTCTTCTACTTGCTCCTCTTGCTCTTCTCCCTTGTCATCCTCCAACACACTCGGAATGACAAGACTGCTGCCGTTGGCGGCAATGGTGCAGACCTCAACGTACTTCGGGCACTTGATCTTTCCGTCTTTCTCAAAATCTTTCAGCCTCACTGGGATTTCAGTGCCCTCAGGGCAAGGCTGAAAACCACTGCTGCCGAGGTACTTCACCTTCACTGTGCCCTCTGCACACGACACCTGCGCGCACACTCCCTTGACGTTTTTATGTTTACCGTCATCATTTTTCGACGGTAATTCCGCATCCAGGCACCACGAGTCACCGCCAGTCAGCGACCCAGGGAGAGAAGTCACAGTTCCGTCCGAGCAAGTATTGTACTTTATCCCAGACGATTTTTCGTGAAATTCAGAAGAAACAACAGGGCAAACGTCCTTATCCACCAGACTCCCCTTGTCCTCAACGATGCTTGCGGTGCACGTCCCGACGTGACGGCGGTCGGAGGTGCAGCGAAGCGTCTCTTTGTCGGAGTCATTGCAGAACATTTGAGGATACTTGCCGGCAAGATTCTCGGTTGCATTGCACTTCTTCTCCAGGAAGTCGCAGCCGGTGCTGTTGCCCCAGCCCATCGGCTCCGCCATGCTCCAGTTCACGCTGTAGTACTCCATATCCGCAAAAACCGCCATCGTCAGAGCCGTGTAGTAGCCGGCGCCAACTGTGGGAGCCATCAGCTCGTCCCGCGCGTGGCGCTCCTTCCAGTGAGGGATCGCCCTTTCCCGAGTGCCACCTTCGTCCTCCAGCTCCATGCCCTTTAGAGAGTCACAACCAAAGTGCGCTTTAGCCTTCTCCTGAACGTGCTTCCCTGCCACCATCCTGCGGTGCTTCCCACGCACAATGTATTCAGAGTTCAGCATGCTCTTTTCTTCCATATTCCTTTGGCTGAACCCAAGTGCATGTGCAATTTCGTGTGCGGCAACGCGAACGCTCCACGCCGTGTCAGTCATGTACTTTGGATCAAAGTTCATGGCGCCAATGGAAGGACGAGAATCACTCCAAGTGCTACACGTTGCCGCCCAAACAGCCTTGCTTTCAGTATTTGACGGCCCAGCAAAAGCGTAGATGACAAAGTCAGCAGCCACGCCGTATAGCCGGTGCTCAATAGGAACCTTAAAGTGTTTGCACGCTTCATTCAAATTACTCGGCACGGTTATGTTCCTTCCAGTGGGTTTCACAAGTAGTCGCTCAGCGTGCAGTTTGACAGCACCGGGGAGAATCTTTTCAGTGTACAATTTCTTCTTTGCTTCCGACAATACATGTTCTTCTGTACAAGTTATCCGCTCCCCCAAGAGGTTGTCGCACTCATCCCCAAGCCCTTCGCAGTACGTCTTTTTCCCCTTGTTCGTGCTGTTCAGTCCATCCGTGAACACCTTGATGCGGATCGGCTCCCAGCCACTGTTTTCATCCTGTGTGGCGACGGTGTACGCCTGCATGGTTCCTTGTCCCTTGCGCGGCACCTCACGCACCACCGCAGTCGAAAGCGTGCCGCTCCTCATCATCTCGTCCAATCCACGGCGGTATTGTGTGGCGGGTGCAGCGGCAATACATGCAGTGGCGCAGTACATCAGCAGCAAAACCAGCAATGGGAGTGGCGGCGTGGCATGGCGTGGCTGGCGCATGGCCTGAAGAATATGCATTTCTTTTTTTCGTTTGGGCAGCAGCAGCAGTGCAGCCTGGCTGCGGGAGGGGAGAGAAAAAGAAAAAAAAGAAAAAGGAAATGGTTTAGTGCCGGTAATGCGTCAAAATGCGGCACATGCAGCGGAGTAACAGGAGACCACAGAGGCGGCCATGCACACCGCGTGCGCACCAACTCCATCAATGGGAAAAACCGTCTATCCGTCGTTGACTGAGCGTCCATCACCGTCGCACGCATTCCTTATCGGCCGCAACGCTCCCTACACGCGGAGTGTTTCGTCTGCTCTCCTCGCGGTGTTGCAATAAACGTGTGACCGGCCACTTAACAGCCACCAATTGTGCAGCGCCCGTCCCAGGTGCGGGAGCATCGCACAGCGCCCGCTCTTTCTATCCCAACAGCTCATAGGGGTAACGCCACCGCACGGTAACCTCATTATAATGGGCAGCCCTGAGGCGGGGATGGAAAGTGTCATGCAAACAAACATATTTTTACTCTTTCTTGCGGTGCTCGAAAACAAGCGTGACGACGTTGCAATTATCATGACGGTTCCTTCCCGCAATGCCACTGACGAAGGAGTTACTGTGAACCCACTGCGTGGAAGTCACCATGTTCGCCGTTGCTCCATAAAACTACCCACGACCACGCCGGCCATTCCCAGACGGCGGATATGAGTGTTGCCAAAGACAGCTACAAGCACCAACACACCGGGCTCCATGGTGCCCTCCATCACCATCCGCAGCGTGCGTGCGTGCGTTTTCAGCGTACACACCGCTCCACAGCGTGTGCAACTTGGCTTGTCTGTGTGTATCTGAGTGTTTGTCAGCGCCTATACTTGCAGAGCAGCTGTGCGGCACAAGAAACTCCAAAGAAAGCAACGGTAGAAAGAAGCGGATAGCACACACGCAAATTACTCATATCGTCCCACACACACGCAGCCAGTGGAATGGGTGCTCTCAACCACAACACAAGTAAAACAATGAAAAAAACAAAAAAGAAAAAGCCGAAGCGTGGGACGACCAGCGCACACACTCTCATTGCTCCCGTAAAGCAAAACACACACACAGGGAGAGAGAGAGAGAGAGAGGTCGCCCACTCAATGCAATGGAAACAAAACAGAAACAGTTACGGTGCTCCGCCCATGCAGCCAGGCAGGACGGCAGCGGTGCGTGTCGTGCAAAAGAGAGCACCAACGGGCCTGCATGGGTGTGCATGCATATATACAATGGGCACATTATGTGTGTGCTTCGTGGGGTGAGGTGAGGGCGAGAGTCCATGCAAGGGGACACACACACAGAGAGTGAGTGAAGGACGAGTGTGTGTGCGGGCGGTGCACGGCTCTCTCTCCCTCACTCTCACGCGGCCACCACCGTAGCAGCAGCCGCACACGCAACAACAAGAAGAAGAGGAGGCAAAAGAGGGGAGGTGGCGTGGGAGACCGCGGTGCTGCCGTCACTGTCGCCTGTATTTGCGGTGGCATTTGTACAAAGGGCGTTTTTATCCTTCGCGGATTCTTTGTCATTTTCTGTGAGATGCTCATTTGAGTCATCTTTTTTATTTACTGCTGTTTCAGTGGATTCAGCATTGTTTTGAACCTCCGCGTTTCCCTTGGCGGCCTCATGAGCGCCAGCAACTCCAGCACGTGCAGAAACGGAGGGTAATGATAGGTCGTTATTTCCATTTGATGTACCATCCGCGTTAATTAAAGGAGCTTCTCCTTCTAGCTGCTTTGTTGAACCGGCACTGGTCTGCTTCTGTTGCAATTCTTCTAGAGGTGAATTTGCCAGTGAACCTTGCGTTGCCCCTGCCTCTATTGGTAAGCCATGCAGTGTGTCGTGTTTTCCGTTTTGTTGTTGTACGTGAGCGTCTTCTTGTTCTTCACGTTTCTTTTCCTTTTCTTCTTTTTGATCATCATTTTCTTTATCAACGTGTTCGCTTCCTGCCAGAGGTTTTTCTGCATGCTTGCGTGTTGCTTCCAGGTGACTCTCAATTGAATTACGTTCTGCAGCACCTGCGTCAGGTTCATCAACGTCTTCTTTTTCTATCGGAGGTTCCTCTACGGGTTTGCGTGGTGTTATTTCTTCGACCTTTGGTGGCTGGTCGTCCCCTTGTGGTGGTTGTTTGGTTTTATTGTGTTCTTCGTTCAATTTTTTTCCTGGTGGTATTTCTTCTGGATTTTGTGTATGTTGATTGTCGATTGGAGTTTCTCGATCTTGTAGTCTTTCTCCCGGGTTATTTTCATTGTTTTTTGGATCTGATTTTACTCCTTCTTCCTCTTCTTCTTCTGCTGCTGCTGATGATGATGCCTTTTTTTCTGGTAGAGTCGGTAGAGATGGTCCTGTTGGAGGAGAATGTGGCGGTGGTGGGTTATTTCCCGTGCCACCCTCACCTCCCGGCAAACTTCCAGATCCTCCTCCTCCTCCTGCTGGTAAAACTCGTCCCGCCTGCAAACTCTGCTCCGATGAAAATGACCGTTCCGAACTGTCGCCGTTTTTGACAGGATCCCCACCATCTTCAGCAGCAACAACAACAACAACAACGGCAGAGCGTTGAGGCCTCCAACGGCTGCGGCCATCCAAAACGGCACGCACACCGTCCATCCCCTGACGCACGCATTCCTCAACGGCAGACACATTCGTCCTGCCTCCCGTCCTCCTGATGACCTCCTCCGCGCATTCCCTCCGCAGCTGAGTGATCCACCACGAGACCCAATACTCACCCGCACTGCCATTGGTACTGCCGACAAAATCGGCCGCAATTCCAGAAAAACCGCACCACAGCACGCAGAGGGCACACACCAGCAGCACACGGCCAGTCATCATCATCGCCATCACTCCCGTCACTTGCGTGTAGCCTTCAGCACAAACTAACTCCCCGTCAACGCAAAAAGCAAAAGGAGAGACAAGTCACGCAACCACGCATCGTCCCATCCAGCAATGAGAGTCACACACCACAACAACAGCAGCTCAAACACCATAAGACATATGGAATCAGTAAAAAGGTAAAAAAAAAAAAAACGCACAACGCCCTGCAAACCAGCAATTAAAATAAAGCAAAACAAAAGATTACAAACACACAAATGGATCCAGCTCGCATGCATAGGAGTGTGTTTGGACGCGTTCAACGCGGCGGATGCGGGAACAACGCGGAGCACACAGCAGGACAGTGGAAGCAAGCAAAGCAAAAACACAATCATCATAATTGCTCTTACTTTATACATCGGACCACAGCAGACACACGCACACATGTCCCCGCCGTTGAGTGCTGGCACGCACAGCCCGCATACACTTCTTCAGCCCAGAGTGGTGCACGCCAGCGCGGATACGGCGAGCAGCAGCGGGGCACACACCCACGCAGAGCTGCTGAGGCTGCCGTCAATTTCGCGAAGATGTGACGGCCCTCGGGTGGTCGTCGTAGTTGTTGTTTCCGTAGATGTAATGATTGGTGCCTCTGTGGTTGTTGTTGTTGTGGTAGTCGTATTTGGTGCGTTTGTCGTAGTCGTCGTTTTTCGCACTGTGAAATCAACTTTTGAAATCGTTGCGGATTTACCCGCAGCACTTGTTTTCGCTGACTGAACAGACGCAACCGATGCATCTTGACTGTTGGCATTCTCATTGGCTTTCGGAACTGTTTTTTCTTCTACATTGTTATTGTCTTGAACCGCTGGTGTAACGACCCCTGGACCTGGGACCTCGTTTTTATCCTTCTGCCTACCGTCCGTCCCACTTATTCCCGATTGTGGATCGGACTTCTGAACGGATTGAGCTAGTTTATCGCTACCCTCTGTCACGCACACGGACGGGCAGCAGCACAGGGCGAGCACCAACAGGGCGCACAGCAGACGGCACGTCATCATCATCGTGAGTGTGGTCGTTCGGTGGTGTGGAGCTGATCTGCACAGTGAGGGACATGGAGAGCAACAGGGGAGACGAGAGGTGCGGCAGACACACACACAGAGGGCACACCACATGAGGAGAGGGCAGCAGCCAGGCATGCACCGTACGCCGCACACCACGCACGACACACACTCCAATCCACAGGCAGCAGGCACACACACACAGCCCTGCCGCAACACCAACACACAGATGGAGGAGGGAGAAGCAAACAGGAGCGGCACACAAGGCTCCACCGCATGCACATACGGCGAGAGCGGTCCGTTTTGTCTGCACCCCTCACGGAGGGTACGCACACACACAAGAGGAGGTGCAGCGCACACAGCAACACAAAAGCAAAGTAACAGTAAAAAAGGGAATGATCCCCGCACACCACGTGGATTGTTGGTCCACGGGAAGTGCAGCCAACAATTCGGTTTGTGTTGTTCCTGCTTCTCGCCGTCAAAGTGTTGCAATAGATGTTTGTTTTTCCTTCCGTTGCTGTGACACCTGATTCCTCACCGTTTATTGCGGTGGAAATGAAAATATGTGAGTGGACTCCCACACACCAGGACGCACCTTCGCTCCTATTTATTGCTGCATGGAAGGACATGTGTGTTTGGTGGCGTCTCGTCCATATATTCTTCTGGGTGCACATTCCCCTGCAGGCTGAGGGCGGGATGGCGCTCCGTCGCGGTGCACTTCCCTCGCATGCCGCCCACTGTGATTCATCATGCATCACCCTCTCACATACTCCGTGGTGCCACACCGTTGATATTATTGCAGCCGCTGTGATTCCGCGTATTTCACGCATTTGATTGTGCCACAACACATCCGCTCGTGTGGCCGCCGCATCCAAACAGCGGTGCCCAACACCGTGAGCGGCAGTCCACATCCTTGCATGTCCCAACGCAGTGGTGTTGGACTGTCAGCCAGGCGACACACAACAAGAGAGTCTTGTGCTGGCAGTACAACACACGGAGCTGCAGTAAATGGCTCGGGCGGGGACGCATCTATTTGTCGCAAAGCAGTGAAAAGGAGTCGGGCAAAATAATGCCGGCTGCACTCACGACACCATATCCACAGCCAAAGCATGCGACGTGATGTGTGTTTCACTGGTGCTGTGAAATGCCTGCAGACGACGTCACTAGTGGAGGCACAGCACCCATGATCGGCGAACTGAAAATAATCGGCATGGGAGGCCACAAGAGGCAGCAACGACGCCAGCAGCAGGAGCAGCTCTCTCCCTCTCTCTCTCTCTGTTGCCTCCGAGAAGTAAACATTCCACCAGCCACAGCTGACTGTGCCATCGCGACACTCCATGCACGTCGTGGCTGCGTCAACACATCCTGTTCCCTGCAGCGCCTCAAAAGATGCCTCACTCCGTCCACTAAGCGCATCGATGTGGGCCGTGCCTCGGCTGTTCGTGAGGACCGCAACGATGTGAGGGTCACCGAGTCGCAGCATGTTTGTTGTGACGTTGTTGCATGGCACCTGCACACACACACACACGCAGCGCCTGCATCCCTCCCTTTTGTTTCCGCCCTCTGCCGGAGTGGCCACACACACGGGCAGCAGCAAAATCACTTCATCCTCGACGATCCAAAATCAACACTGACATCCCTCGCGACGCAAAGATCTCGGTTGCCAGCACGGGCTTCCTGCCGCTCTGCCATCGACGCTGAAACACGGCACAGTGCACGCACTTATTTTCCTCGTGTGCAGTCAGCCGTTTGCTTCACACATTCTTCGATGGGCTGACGCCCACAAAAGCACGCCACAAAAGGCCACTGTGATCACACACGCTCTTGCGATGAGCGTCGGTGTGTGCATGGACCCGCTGCTCACACGTGCTGGCAGGCAGCCTGCAGCCGGTGCCCTCGTGCCAGTTCATCGGCTCCAGAATGGAAAAGAGAAAGTGGCCTATTCCCGATGCACTTATTCCCACCAGCAGCACCAACACGCTGGTCGCCAGCCGTCATTCCTCAGCGCATCCAGGAATGCTGAAAAGTGACGTGGAGCTGCCAGCCAGCAATGCCACAATCCCCGCACACATGTCGGCCCCACCAGAGAAGACACACAAATCACAAACAACACCCCTCCACATGTCATCCGAACACCATTCCGACACACCGCGACACGCCAAACAGAAGTATTCGTCACTCCATGCACCTCCCCACACAATCAAATAGTCCACGCACCACGCACGGCAGCAGCTCACACGCACTCAGACAAGTGTTCTTCGGATCAGTGTTATCCACGTGGTGTGGTGGGAAGTAAACAAAAGACACGGGCTGCCAAACCCCAAAAGAGTGCCACGACTGGCCGCAAGTCAATGGAACGCAGCCACTCAAATGAATTCAGTCCTAATGCCCTCAACCTCCCGCATTCCCCCACTAAAACCCCAAGAGACGCAAAACAAAAACCCCGTCAAATAAAGTCGCTGTGCAACACCAATTGGAGCCGCAGTGCCTCCTGCTGTCCTCACAGTCCGCTGATGACGCCTGGATGCGGATGAGCACCCATCGGTCCTTCCAAACGGCGCTGTACACCTGCGACGCATCCTGCGCTCTGAGACACGCGTCCCTCACTATCACCAAAGACACCCACGCGCCGTCCGTACGCAACAAATAGTCAAGGAACCAAGGATGCGTAAGGCTCACAACGAGACACCCGCTAGCAATCACATCGCAGACATCAACAATAGCACCAGCAGCGCCAAAAGACGCGGGTGAATAAGATCAACAGACTCATGGCGTAGTTGAAGAAAGAACTTGGTGGCGTCAAAAAGAACCAAGAGGCTGACACTCTCTCAACAAGAGAGGAAAAATATAAGAATACAAAAAAGAGAAATTTTAAGCGTCCGCAGTCAAAGCAAGCCAATAACTGAAAAAAGGGTAGTGGGCGCACATAACCACACTTAAAAAAATAAAAAAAACAAAAACAAGAAAGAAAAAGTGTGGGACGACCAGCGCACACACTCTCATTGCTCCCGTAAGGCAAAACACACACACACAGGGAGAGAGAGAGAGTGAGAGGTCGCCCACTCAATGCAATAAAAACAAAACAGAAACAGTTACGGTGCTCCGCCCATGCAGCCAGACAGAACGGCAGCGGTGCGTGCGGTGCAAAAGAGAGCAACAACGGGCCTGCATGGGTGTGCATGCATATATACAATGGGCACATTATGTGTGTGCTTCGTGGGATGAGGTGAGGGCGAGAGTCCATGCAAGGGGACACACACACAGAGAGAGAGAAGAACGAGTGTGTGTGCGGGCGGTGCATGGCGCTCTCTCACTCACTCTCACGCGGCCACCACCGCAGCAGTAGTAGCCGCACACGCAACAACAACAAGAAGAGGAGGCAAAAGAGGGGAGGTGGCGTGGGAGACCGCGGTGCTGCTGTCACTGTCGCCGGTATTTGCGGTGGCATTTGTACGAAGGGCGTTTTTATCTTTCGCGGATTCTTCGCCATTTTCCGCGGGGTGTTCATGCCGTTGATGTTGTTGGACTTGTGTTTCATCACTTTGCTGCTGCTTTTCATGATCTTCTTCTTCCTCTTCCTCTTTTTCTTCTTCTTGTCGTGTGTGTTCAGTGCCGGATGTCGTCCCTGCCGGTCCTTCGGCTGGCGAGGAGTCGTTAGCCGCTGCTGCAGCAGACGTCTGATCTCCTGTTGAAGAGTCCCCTGTTGTGTTAGTTGGATGACTGCCTGAGGACCCCGCTTTACCACCGCTGCTGCCAGCTGAAGGGTCAACAACAGGAGCAGCAGGAGGAGCAGCAGCAGGAGGAGCAGCAGGAGGAGGATGAGCGGGAACAGATGAACCAGAAGAAACGCCACCGGTGTCATGACCACCAGCAGAACCATCACCAGGAGCAGCAGGAGCGGGAGGAGAAGCAAGAGAAGAACTAGAAGGAACGCTGCCGGTGGCATGATCATCAGTAGAACTTCCACTGCCACCACCACCAGAACCGCTTCCTCCACCGCCTCCACCACCAGAAGCCCCGGCAGCACCACCGCCTCCACCGCCAGAATTTCCACCATCACCAGAATCACCAGAAGAAGCACCACCAGAAGGACCAGGAGCGGGAGCAGCAGGAACGGGAGGAGAAGCCCCTGGACCAGAACTGCCTTCACCACCAGAATCACCACCACCACCAACATCAGGAGCCCCTGGACCAGCAGGACCACCAGAAGCACCAGCGTTAAAAGTCTCACTTGAATGCGAATCGTTCTGTATTACAACGGCAGTATTATCTGTTCCAGCCGAAGCTTCAACGGCAGTAATGGGCAGTACTGACCGCAAAGGCATCGTAATCGCAGTTTTATTACATCCGTCAGGCATGTGGGATCCATTCTCACCCAACACTCCCGACCCCATGCAGCCGCCCAGTGCGTTGGTGTCAACGTCCCTCGCATAAACACCGCCGGCACCGCACCACAGCACGCAGAGGGCACACACCAGCAGCACACGGCCAGTCATCATCATCGCCATCACTCCTGTCACGTGCGTGCAGCCTTCAGCACAAACTAACAACACGTCAACGCAGAGTGAAAGCAAAAGGGGAGACACGGCACAGTAGCAAACACCAGCAGCAGCAGCACGCATTTCATGAGAAATATAGAACCAATAAAAGTGAAAAAAGGCACAATGCGCTGCAAGTAAAGAAGAACACAGAAACCAAGGAAAAAACAAAAGTAAACAGGCAGCAATAAAGTAAAACAGTAAAAACACACACACAAAAGAGCTGCACAGTATGGCTCCAGCGCGCATGCCTCTATTCTCAACAGTGTGTCCACGCAAACAGTTGTGTGCGTGTCGTGCGTATGCGTATGTTTGGGATGCGTTCAACGCGGCGGATGTGGGGCACAACGCGGAGCACACAGCAGGGCAGCAGAAGCAAAGGAAGCAAAACACAATCATCATAATTGCTCTTAATTTATACATCGGACCACAGTGAACGTACACACATGTCCCCGCCGTTGAGTGCTGGCACGCACAACCCGCATACACCTCTTCAGCTGAGATTGGTGTACGCCAGCGCGGATACGGCGAGCAGCAGCGGGGCACACACCCACGCAGAGCCGCCGAGGCTGCCGTCAATTTCGCGAAGATGTGACGGTGCGCGGGTGGTCGTCGTAGTTGGTGCTTCCGTAGATGTAATGATTGGTGCCTCTGTGGTTGTTGTTGTGGTAGTCGTACTTGTAGTTGGTGCTTTTGTCGTAGTCGTCGTTTTTTGCACTGTGAAATCAACTTTTGAAATCGTTGCGGATTTACCCGCAGCACTTGTTTTCGCTGACTGAACAGACGCAACTGATGCATCTTGACTGTTGGCATTCTCATTGGCTTTCGGAACTGTTTTTTCTTCTACATTGTTATTGTCTTGAACCGTTGGTGTAACGACCCCTGGACCTGGGGCCTCGTTTTTATCCTTCTGCCTACCGTCCGTCCCACTTATTCCCGATTGTGGATCGGACTTCTGAACGGATTGAGCTAGTTTATCGCTACCCTCTGTCACGCACACGGACGGGCAGCAGCACAGGGCGAGCACCAAAAGGGAGCACAGCAGACGGCACGTCATCATCATCGTGAGTGTGGTCGTTCGGTGGTGTGGAGCTGATCTGCACAGTGAGGGACATGGAGAGCAACAGGGGAGACGAGAGGTGCGGCAGACACACACAGAGAGGGCACACCACATGAGGAGAGGGCAGCAGCCAGGCATGCACCGTACGCCGCACACCACGCACGACACACACTCCAATCCACAGGCAGCAGGCACACACAGCAACACACAGCCCTGCCGCAACACCAACACACAGATGGAGGAGGGAGAAGCAAACAGGAGCGGCACACAAGGCTCCACCGCATGTGCATACGGCAAGAGCGGTCCGTCGTGTCGGCACCCCTCACGGAGGGTACGCACACACACAAGAGGAGGTGCAGCGCACACAGCAACACAAAAGCAAAATAACAGTAAAAAAGGGAATGATCCCCTCACACCACGTGGATTGTTGGTCCACGGGAAGTGCAGCTAACAATTCGTTTTGTGTTCTTCCTGCTTTTCGCCGTCAAAGTGTTGCAATAGATGGTTTTATCCCTTTCGTTGCTGTGGCACCTGATTCCTCACCGTTTATTGCGGTGGAAATGAAAATATGTGGGTGGACTCCCACACACCAGAGCGCACCTTCGCTCCTATTTATTGCTGCATGGAAGGACATGTGTGTTTGGTGGCGTCTCGTCCATATATTCTTCTGGGTGCACATTCCCCTGCAGGCTGAGGGCGGGGTGACGCTCCGTCGCGGTGCACTTCCCTCGCATGCCGCCCACTGTGATTCATCATGCATCACCCTCTTTCACATACTCCGTGGTGCCACACCGCTGATATTATTGCAGCCGCTGTGGTTCCGCGTATTTCACGCATTTGATTGTGCCACAACACATCCGCTCGTGTGGCCGCCGCATCCAAACAGCGGTGCCCAACACCGTGAGCGGCAGTCCACATCCTTGCATGTCCCAACGCAGTGGTGTTTGACTGTCAGCCAGGCGACACACAACAGGAGACTCTTGTGCTGGCAGTACAACACACGGGGCTGCAGTGAATGACTCGGGCGGGGACGCATCTACTTGTCGAAAAGCAGTGAAAAGGAGTCGGGCAAAATAATGCCGGCTGCATTCACGATACCATATCCACAGCCAACGCATGCGACGTGATGTGTGTTTCACTGGTGCTGTGAAATGCCTGCAGACGACGTCACTAGTGGAGGCATGCCACCTATGATCGGCGGACAGACAATAATCGGCATGGGAGGCCACAAGAGGCAGCAACGACACCAGCAGCAGGAGCAGCTCTCTCCCTCTCTCTCTCTCTGTTGCCTCCGAGAAGTAAACATTCCACCAGCCACAGCTGACTGTGCCATCGTGACACTCCATGCACGTCGTGGCTGCGCCAACACATCCTGTTCCCTGCAGCGCCTCAAAAGATGCCTCACTCCGTCCACTAAGTGCATCGATGTGGGCCGTGCCTCGGCTGCTCGTGAGGACCGCAACGATGTGAGGGTCACCGAGTCGCAGCATGTTTGTTGTGACGTTGTTGCGTGGCACCTGCACACACACACACGCAGCGCCTGCATCCTCCCTTTTGTGTCCGCCCTCTGCCGGAGTGGCCACACACACGGGCAGCAGCAAAATCACTTCACCCTCGACGACACAAAAACAACACCGACATCCCTCGCGACGCAAAAACCTCAGTTACCAGCACGGGCTTCCTGCCGCCCTGCCATCGAAGCTGAAACACGGCACAGTGCACGCACTTATTTTCCTCGTGTGCAGTCAGCCGTTTGCTTCACACATTCTCCGATGGGCTGACGCCCATAAAAGCACGCCACAAAAGGCCACTGTGATCACACACGCTCTTGCGATGAGCGTCGGTGTGTGCATGGATCCGCTGCTCACACGTGCTGGCAGGCAGCCTGCAGCCGGTGCCCTCGTGCCAGTTCATCGGCTCCATCACGGAAAGAGAAAGTGGCCTATTCCCCATGCACTTATTCCCGCCAGCAGCACCAACACGCTGGTCGCCAGCCGTCATTCCTCAGCACATCCAGGAATGCCGAAAAGTGACGTGGAGCTGCCAGCCAGCAATGCCACAATCCCCGCACACATGTCGGCTCCACCAGAGAAGACACACAAATCACAAGCGACACCCTCCACATGTCATCCGAACATCATTCCGACACACCGCGACACGCCAAAAAGAGGTATTCGTCACTCCATGCACCTCCCTACACAATCAAATATTCCACGCACCACGCACGGCAGCAGCTCACACGCACTCAGACAAGTGTTCTTCGGATCAGTGTTATCCACGTGGTGTGGTGGGAAGTAAACAAAAGAGACGAGCCGCCAAACCCCAAAAGAGTGCCACGACTGGCCGCGAGTCAATGGAACGCAGCCACTCAAATGAATTCGGTCCTAATGCCCTCAACCTCCCGCATTCTCCCACTAAAGCCCCAAGAGACGCAAATCAAAGGCATCGTCCAATAAAGTCGCTGTGCAACACCAAGTGACGCCGCAGTGCCTCCTGCTGTCATCCGGGGCCGTTGTGGACGCCTTCACGGGGACAGACACCCACCGGATATTCCAAACGGCGCTGTGCACCTGCGACGCATCCAACGCTTTGGGACGCACATGCCTCACTATCACCAGAGACGCCCACGCGACGTCGGACGCCCCACACAATCAAAGACGCAAGTATACGTCAGAGTAGCAGCAAAGCATCCGCTAGCAATCACACCGCAGGCATCATCACAAACAGCAGCAAAAGCGCTGCAGTCAACTGTGGGCTGCCATGGACCAACTGACGCATGGCGTATGTAGAAGAAAGAGCGTGGCGTCTTTAGAAGGATAAGAGTAGCTGACACTTCCTTAACAGGATGAAAACAATATGGAAACAATATGAAAAATTCAGGCGTCCACAGTCAAAGCAAACCGCCGATCACAAAAGCCGAATGGACGCACTCAACCACAACACAAGTAAAACAATGAAAAAAACAAAAAAGAAAAAACGAAGCGTGGGACGACCAGCGCACACACTCTCATTGCTCCCGTAAAGCCCAACAGGGAGAGAGAGAGAGAGGTCGCCCACTAAATGCAATAAAAACAAAACAAAAAACAGAAACAGTTACGGTGCTACGCCCATGCAGCCAGGCAAGACGGCAGCGGTGCGTGTGGTGCAAAAGCGAGCACCAACGGGCCTGCATGGGTGTGCATGCATATATACAATGGGCACATTATGTGTGTGCTTCGTGGTGTGAGGTGAGGGCGAGAGTCCATGCAAGGGGACACACACAGAGAGTGGGTGAAGGACAAGTGTGTGTGCGGGCGGTGCATGGCTCTCTCTCACTCACTCTCACGCGGCCACCACCGCAGCAGCAGCCGCACACGCAACAAGAAGAAGAAGCAAAAGAGGGGAGGTGGAGTGGGAGGCCGCGGCGCTGCCGTCACTGTCGCCTGTATTTGCGGTGGCATTTGTACGAATGGCGTTTTTACCTTTCGCGGATTCTTCGCCATTTTCCGCGGGGTGCTCATGCTGTTGATGTTGTTGGACTTGTGTTTCATCACTTTGCTGCTGCTTTTCATGATCTTCTTCCTCTCCCTCTTCTTCTTCTTGTCGTGTGTGTCCAGTGCCGGATGTCGTTCCTGCCGGTATTTTGGCTGGCGAGGAGTCGTTAGCCGCTGCTGCAGCAGACGTCTGATCTCCTGTTGAAGAGTCCCCTGTTGTGTTAGATGGATTACTGTCTGAGGACCCCGCTGTACCATCACTGCTGCCAGCTGAAGAATCAACAACAGGAGGATCTGAAGGAGGAAGAGCAGGAGAAACAGCAGGAGCAGCAGGAAGAGCAGCAGATGAACCAGAAGAAATGCCACCGCTGCCTTGATCTCCAGCAGAAGTTCCACTGCCTCCACCAGCACCAGAACCACCACCAGCAGAACCAACTCCAGAACCAGAACCTCCTGCACCACCACCAGAACCGCCTCCACCAGCAGATGAAACAGCAGGAGAAGCACCAGCGTTGGAAGTCTCACTTGAATGCGAATCGTTCGGTATTACAACAGTATTATCTGTTCCAGCCGAGGCTTCAACGGCAGTAATGGGCAGTACTGACCGCAAAGGCATCGTAATCGCAGTTTTATTACATCCGTCAGGCATGTGGGATCCATTCTCACCCAACACTCCCGACGCCATGCAACCGCCCAGTGCATTGGTGTCGACATCCCTCGCATAAACACCGCCGGCACTGCACCACAGCACGCAGAGGGCACACACCAGCAGCACACGGCCAGTCATCATCATCGCCATCACTCCCGTCACTTGCGTGTAGCCTTCAGCACAAACTAACTCCCCGTCAACGCAAAAAGCAAAAGGAGAGACAAGTCACGCAACCACGCACCGTCCCATCCAGCAATGAGAGTCACACACCACCACAACAATTGAGTGGGCGCGGCTCAACAACAATCAAAAAAAAAAAAAAAAAAAAAAGGAGCACTCCTCGCCGTGCACCGTTCCTCACACTCCCACAGTCACCATTACTGTTATTCCCTCTCTCCTCAGTCCCTCACAGGCACGCCACGCTCAATCCAACACGCGCCCCTCCCAGCACAGGCAGTCCGTCATGCGCTCCCGCTGCGCCGCAACCACACACGGATCAGGTTGGCCGTCATGCACTGCATCTCGTTGTCCTCCTTGTGCTTGAAGCAGACCCTCACATTCTCTCAATCCACGGCATGGGAACTGCGAGTGGCGGCCGAGAGGTGCCACGTGTCTGAAGATCCTAATGTGCGGAAACAACGGCCACCCTCACTCACTCAACTCTCCCGCACACAAGGGCGGTGTCATGGCAAAGAGAAGCCCGCCGCACAGCAAATGCACAATGACACATGCAATAGCCGTGCCACCGACGTCGCACCGCAGGATAGAGCCATGCGGACAGCACAAACACGGCGGCAAAGAGAGGGACGGGGCACATCCAAGTGCATACCGCAGTCCTTCACTTCTCCCTTCCCCGGCGGGTTGGCGTCCCACACCCACAAATGAGGCACGGCGCACACCATCGGCTCCCTCCGAGTGCACTCAGCAGGCCGGCGCCCAGTCACCCTCCTGCCATCGCAAAGGGGACCACAAGAAATCGTCGTCGCGGACCATCGGTGCCTCTAGCGGAGAAGAAAGTGAAATAAGGGCGTGTCAAAAGCACAGCCAGCAGAGGGACAACAAAAGAGACACAGTAACACAAGGTGACAGCGGACACGGCACAACAAAAGCACGCCGCAGTGAATTACCAAACAAAAAAAAAAGGGTAAAAGTCCAGGAGGAGTTGACGGAAATTTAAAAAAATGTGGTGAAGATCAATTCGGCAAGACTTTTATTTCATGTGCCGAGCAGCACAACAAAACGACCGTGTGTTTGTGTTTATACATATCGCCCGCACCAGGAAGGAAGAGAAAAACCAAATTAAAAAAAGGAATTGCACTGTTCCACCAGCCCACAAAACATCCTTCACATTTCATGCAGCAATCGGCCTGTTCTTCCAATTCGTGTTTCGTGCAGTCCGTGGAACGCGCAGCCGAAGGGCCGGCACCGCGTGTGGGCGACAAGAAAGCAAACAAGAGAGGGAAACACGTCGCTCATGACGGTGCGCAGCAGCCAAACACCACGTAAAGCAAAAACAAAAATAGTTATTACTCCGGCTGAACTACATTAAAAAGAACACTGAAAAGTAAAGACATTGAAGAACCAAACGAGCAGTAAAATAGAATTAAAACGGTGGTATAAAAAAGGACGGGCAATGCGGCATGTATTCTCCGTGAGGAGTCGCAGATCCACACTCCGTGGCTCAGAAGACTGCCATCACCCAAATACAGTCCCAGTAGAAGCAGCAACACACACGACACGCACACACGCACGGTGTTGTTACCGCTTAAATCACGCAGTGTCAATTTCACGTCGTTGGGAGAGACGAGGTGGTCGTCGGGACTCACGCCGCTCCACACCCTGCGAGGTGACTTTTTTTAATGGGGATTCGTGTCCAGGGGCGTGGTGCTCATTCATTTCTCTTCCGTAATATCCCCAGCAATTTGCTCTCTGACGCTGTCAACTACTCGAATCTTCTCGGGTGGTGTCGGAGACGCTTCCCTCGTCGGAACGGGGTCTCTGTCCTTGAGTGCACGCATCGCAGTGGAGTTCAGTGGGCGGCTGTACAGAAAGACGTTCGTCAGCGTCACATGAGATTAGTGCCCACAGCACGCGCCAAAGCAAAACCTCAGTACATCAGGTGGCTTCTGACCTGTTAACAGCACCTCTTCCTATTCCGCCCCCAGCAACTGACCATCAATGTGCACAGAGGCCTCCTTGCCTTGCAGCATGAGTGCCACTTGGTACTCTTCCTTCTTCGGCTCCCAAGTGCTCCTCCGTGTTGTTGTCGTGCCTTCGAACGCCGTCTCCCACTTCTTATTGTGGCTGCACGACAGTCCCATGGTACGATTGGGCTCAGTGTTCGCCAACACCACAGTCAGTTGAGAAATGTTCCCACTCGGAGCCTCTTCGATGGTCACCGACACCACAACTGTGAAGTCGTGGCTCAAGAATACATGGCGCACATTATTAACCCGAGTGTTCACAGTCCATATTGCCCTGGACTCAATTCTCGTCAATTGTAACCCATCGTTGTTCTTCACTGCATTCGTCACCGTCGCATGCAGGCAAAGGTACTCGTCGTTCCACGTGCCATTACTGGCCGCATCGGACAAAACTGCCACCAGACCCGCCGTGGGTATAGACACGCTGGAGAAGAAAGTGTCCTTTTGCGCCCCAGTACTGAGGACGGACTTGATTGCACTCACTTCCTCCGTCAGGCGGGAAAGTAAAATGGCACGGCCCTCACCGTTGCCCCTCCGTTGTAAAAGATGCAAACTGCCATCCGAGTACAGCAGGGTGCTGGCGAGCTCCCAATTCACAGCACTGTCCGTGACAACCGGTCCAACGTAAAACGAGCGGTTGTTGTCCGTGACCCAAACGTAAAGCGGATTGGCCTTATTCTCCACCGAGGCGTGCCCTCTCTGAGTGTACAGCATGACCTTCCTTTCCTCAATGGTCGCGGTGATGAGGGCATCCACATGCAGGCTTTCCTTCTGATAGTCTCCCGATCCTGAGTTGACCCACACGCCTAAAAGCTTCTCGATGGCCTCCGTCCACGTTGTCCCCATGTCACGCGACTCGTACACCCTCTGGCCATTCTCGCAGTCAACAATCATGGGAAGTGATCCCTCCCACTCGGTGACGCGGGGGTTAAGACATTTCGCAGGGGACATGCCCTCAGAGAGCGCCCAGGCACTGCCGTTGTCCGTCGAGTAAATGGTCATGGAGCAAACGTATTCTGCCTCATTCTTCGCCATTAGAGGAAACAGGAAGGTGCCATCCTCCATCACAACACCTGCGCCACCAGAAGCAATGAACTCCGTCCAGTCACCTTCGTGAGAAGCAGAAGAGATCAGTTTCGAGAGTGTTTGGGGTCGCCCCATTCGATCCGTTCACTCTGCTTGCCACCCGTGGGATTCGTGACATCACCCACAAACAGTTCCAGCTCCAAGCCGCCCTCTCTCCAACACCCACCTTCGTAGGACACATCCGAGCCTCCCGCAAGAAGAAACACTCCGTGGCCCTTCGTGATCGTTGTGGAGTGGTGCACAACACCCAAACCCTCCTTTCCCTCCGCTGCACCAAGCACAGTGTGTGCGCTCCATGTATCTTTTATTGACCTCACCAACAAGAGTGGAACAATCCCACGCAGGGTCAATGTACCCCGCAACAACATCAGAAGAAAAGGGCTTAGTTAATTGGCCACATTGATATCCGGCATCCAAATGTGACCCTCGGCAAAAGCAGCAATTACTCCACCAGCTCTGACGAGAGAGGGTAAAACAAATGAATCCCTTGGCGTGCCTGGAACAACCTCATCCCTCAGCTGCAACACCTTCTTCTGTGAAAAAAATAGATCGACCCTCTCCGGCCCCTGAACACTTCTTAAATCATTCTTGCCATCATTATCCTTTGCAGGCGTGGCTCCACAAGTACCGCAGCACATCAACACAACAAGGAAGAGCAGCACCGCGAAAGCAAACACACGCCGCGACATGTTGGGCCTCGGCGGCTCACTCTCTCCTCCTTCCCTCCTCCTTCCGCTGGATCCGGTCACGCGGCGACGGTTGTGTGTGCGGGGCGCCTTCACTGCAGCAACACGTGAGTGCATACAAATATGTATGTCTATGTGTGTGTCAACTGTGTGCTGTTGGTCCTTTCAGAGCCCTCGAATTTCACAGTAGCGTTTAGCGCTTGTTTTCCTTCATCGTTTGTGTTTGCGCGCAAGAAATCAAATTAAACTTTAAAAAACACCAATACAGAGCGTGGCAGGGGAGTGAGTGGCGCCGCCATCCACAGTGTAACACACCAGCGTCGTCGTAACCGCGACAGTAATTAATCTCCCCGTCAACAACGGCTCAAGCACTGTGAGGCCCCAGGCAGAAGCAGAGACACTGACGTTTGCGCACGGGCCAATACACCCTCCGGCAAGCAGCACCAACCAACAGACAGACAGCAGAAAGTAAGTGCAATAAAAATCCCAAGTACTGCGGGATCCTTGCAAGCAGCGCTCCCTGATCGCAGGGCCTTTAAAGCGTTCCTCGCTGCAACATCCCCACCACTCCCTCGGCGTGTCGGTGGATTTTCCCGTTCACCGGAACAAAAACGGCGGGATGCTCCGGCAGGGCTCGAAGACACACAGAGCGCACCGTCGACGCGATCAACGGGCGCAGGCCCTCGTGAAGTGAGATCCCACAACCGTGATCCCTCCATTGACTCCCCTGGACGTGGAGGAGGCATGAAATGTCCTCTTCTCTACAGTAGTCCCGAAACGCAAAAAATCCGCAGGACATCCCGCGCAGCCACGGCCTCCTCAGCAGCCCGACAGTCCACGCCGTCGCACCGCTCCTCAGGAGGTCGCCAGGCCCGGTAAGGCAAGCAAAAGGGGACCAGCAATTCGTTCAGGGCGTTCAGCAAAATGGGGTGCAGCAGTCGGGTGAGCGCGGCCCATCCACGTCCTCCCCCTCAACCGACCCACCACACAGTCGGATCACACACCCAAAAAGAGCAGTGGCGCCCAAAAAAATAACAGTGACACTAACGCCTCGTGCTCTCCTCAATGTAGTTTCACGGCACACCCGAGGCATCACAGGAAGGGACAAATACTTACATTCCGTCGGCATAAGCACGGAAATAAAGCGCGGATTTTGGCCCCGTGAACTCCCATC